AAAGGGAAGAATCATGGCAATGGCTCCCATTCCTTCATTCCATCATGTCACTTTTTCGGGGATGCGTCGTCCAATCGTCAAGGTCAAAATTGTTCGACAGGTCTTTATGGTCGATTTTGTTTTTCGAGAATTTTCAGAAGAGAAAAACAATGAACATTATGCTAATAGTTGATATACTAGTTGGATTGGAAAAAAATGTTGTTGTTTTCATTTCGAAAGGACGAACTCATATGAAGTCCATGAAGCAATCTCCCAGGCGGCCGCTGTGGTCGGTTGTGATTCCGTTGTCAGTTGTGGTCGGTTCTGTGAGATCGGAGGCCACACAGACCGGCAGTGAAGATCTCAAATCGATCTTCGAGTCGCATCTGGTGGAAGCTGGACGGATGCTGGTGTTGCTAGAGACCATCGAGTCAGAATCTTACTGATTCCACTGATTCCTGAACATTAAGTCATTGAGTCAGATGGCCAATGTTGAGGTCAGGTGTGTGGTGTGATGTGGTGTGCAACAGTCGTGTGCAACTCTGTGCGACAGCAATTTTGTGATTTTTGTGCAGGGGCGAGCTAGTGTTCCAGTAGCCACCTGGCCATGTCAACATGCCAGACGCCTGAATTCATATTGTAGAGCTTCGCACACCGGCGATGCTGTAAGGGTTGGGACGCTTGCCAGATGCCAAGAAACCACGCTATTTGCGATGTTGTTTTTGCACCTTCGAGGCTTGCACCTTCGAGGCTAGAAGCACTGTAAATGACGATGGTTTTGAGTCACCATATGCACCAAAAACATGAAACAACGCGGTATTTACACGTTTTTTTGCTAGTTGCTTCCAAAAACACGGTATTTGCAGTGTTTTTTGCACATTCTATCTACAGCATGGCAGTCTGTTTACGGTTAAAAACCGCGTAAACATGAATGTTTTAGCGTCCGACGACAGTAGCTAATACACGCTGCTGTTCTATCTGTCTATCTATCTAGCTGTGTATCTGTCTCTCTGTCTTTCTGCCTACCTGACTGGACTATCCAATGATCTGTCTCTGTCTATCTATCTGTCTCTGTATCTATCTATCTTTGTACCTATCTATCTAGATCCATCTATCCATCTATCCATCCATCCATCTATCAATCAATCCATCAATCCATCTATCTATCCATCCATCGATCTATCTATCTAGCTATCTATCTACCTAGCTATCAATCTATTTATCTATCTATCTATCTATCTATCTATGTATCTATTTGATTCTATTTATGGATCGATCTATCTATCTATCTATCTATCTATGTATCTATTTGATTCTATTTATGGATCGATCTATCTATCTATCTATCTGTCTGTCTGTCTGTCTGTCTATCTATCTGTCTCTCTATCATTCTCTATCTATCTTTCTATGTGCCTACATTTCTTTCTATCTGAAAGGAAGCAATTATGCGAGAATTCCTTCAAAAATGGAAGTTGACAAGTCCAAAACGAAGCAATGCTGCCAGGCCAGACTGAACTTGACAACGTCAAAGCCGAGGCAATGCTGCGAGACTTCTTCAACTTTTGAACTTGACAACATCAAAAACGAGGCAATGCTGCGAGACTTCTTCAACTTTTGAACTTGACAATATCAAAAACGAAGCAATGCTGCGAGACGTCTTCAACTTGTGAACTTGACAACATAAAAAACGAGGCAATTCGCGACGCTTCCACAATGTTTGAACTTGACAGCATCAAAAACGAAGCCATTCCGCGACGCGGCCTCAATTTTTTGAATTTGGCAACATCAAAAACGAAGCAAATCTGGGAGACTTCCTCAGTCTTGAATTTGACCACGTCAAAACGGAAGCAAGTCTGGGAGACTTCCTCAGTTTTGAAAGTTGAGTGCGAGGTGACAGCCTCGTACCAATGCGTTTTGCGATTTTTCCATCCCGTCCTCTAAAGTACTGCGCCTGCCACGAAAGTGCAGCCAAGTCATATCAAGTTCTGCACCTGTCGCAAAGTCATCTTAGCAAACCTAAAGATATCATGCTCCAAAATGCAACTCCTCTGAGAAAATCAGCGCCCTGACCTCCTAACATGTCTGATGGAGATGTCTCTTGTATTGTGCCTGCCGCGCGAACTGCATCTTTGTAGATCCTCTTCAAACGTCCACCGCGCCCTATCTCAAAAGGGTGGTCCGAGACCATCACCCTTTTGACTTCGAAATTTGCTTCGCGCCACAGCGGCGTGCATTTTTTCGACATCTCAAGTTCCAAAAGTGGTCCGAATGTATCGTGTTTTAACATTTTGACTTCGCCATGTGCTTCATGCCACAGCCGCGTGCACTTTTTGAACAGCCCCATTTTAACTTCCAAATCTGCTTCGTGCCACAATGGCGTGCAATTTTTGATCTCTCATCCCGCCACATGGCTGTGCACCCGCCGCTTTAGTGAGCCTACGTATTTTTCGACCTGGAAACAGTGTTTTGCGGCCTTGCTACCTTTTCGCGCAATCTTCTTTCTACTGACTCTTTCTCTTCTGCTTCTTTCTTGTCTGACTCTTCTCTTATCTCACCACTGTTACTGCATCTGTCCATAAGTCAGAAGTTTGACTTCTAATTTTTTTCGATAAGGAATTTTCAGCCCGAAGGACATAAGTAATTGGGCATTCAGGTTTCTTGGATCTCATGAGAAGGCAGAGTCCTGTATATACGCAGTGAAGTTGTTTCTTTGCACCTGGGCGCTAGGTTTGCGTTAGTGTGGCACTAGATACTTTACAGAGCCATTGAAGTAAATACCGTAAAGCGTTGTCAGGCCCAAATCTTTCTCTGCCTCTTGCTCTCTTGTACAATTGTTGCTCCCGGTCCTGCTTGGAGAAACTAGCTCCAAAGTGCAGAGTCCCAGCTTCCAAACTATTGGCTCGGCCACACCGAAACGGAATAGCATTGAAGGACAGAGGCAATGCAAATAACTAGATGCTGATTTCCTTGGCGCTTTCTGCTTGTAATTTTTTAATTGCTTCTGTGACGCGCTCCCTCTGCTGCAGACTGGGGTCGGCGAATTTCAACATGATGTCCGTCCGTCAATGATCAAATTTGCCCATCCCATCCTTGACTGCTAAGGCGGCCGGTTTACATAACCCGAGCCTGGTGCATTTTTGAAAGTTACGACGCTCGACTGTCAGAGTTTGGCTCAATAGAGTCTGAACAATGCACAGGCACATGGCTTCAATTTGCAGCCGGTAGGTCAACAACCTTCTAACTCCGGCTTTTCGATTTCTTGATAATTAAAAGTAGTCGGAATGTACGACTACAACAACAAGAACGGCAAGAAGAAACACATTGAGAAGAAGAAGAAGAAGAAAAAGAAGAAAAAGAAGAAAGAGAAGCAACAAGCAACAAGCAACAAGCAACCAGCAACAGGCAACAAACAACAAGAAACAAGCAACAAACAACAACAACAAGCAGCAGCAGCAGCAACAACAACAACACCAACAACACCAGCAACACCAACAACACCAACAACACCAACAACAACAACAACATCAACAACACCAACAACACCAACAGCAACAACAGCAACAACAGCAACAACAGCAACAACAGCAAAAACAGCAAAACCACCAACAACAAAAACAAACAAAACAACAAAACCAACAAAAAACAACAAAAAAACAACAAAAACAACACCACCAGCAACAACGGCAACAGCAACAACAAGAACAACAAGAACAACAAGAACAACAAGAACAACAAGAACAGCAAGAATAGCAAGAACAACAAGAACAACAAGAACAACAAGAACAACAAGAACAACAAGAACAACTAGAACAACTAGAACAACTAGAACAACAAGAACAACAAGAACAGCAAAACAACAAGAACAAGAACAACAAGAACAACAAGAACAACAAGAACGACAAGAACGACAAGAACGACAAGAACGACAAGAACGACACCAACGACACCAACGACACCAACGACACCAACGACACCAACAACACCACCACCACCAAACAACAACAACAACAACAACAACACCACCAACACCAAGACCAACAACAACAACAACAACAACAGCAACGACAACAGCAACGACAACAGCAACGACAACAACAACAACAGCAACAACAACAACAACAACAGCAACGACAACAACGACAACAACAACACCACCAACAACAGTAACAACAATCACAAACCAACAGCAGCAACAACAATCGGAAACCACAAACCACAAACCGCAACCGCAAACACAACCACAAACCACCGTTACGTCCGACTTGTCGTTTCTGAGCCTCGTGAGTTTTGCAGAGTATGGCCTAGCAACTACCAAAGCTGGCCGATCGTTTTCATGCAGCATGCAAATTTGCAAACCGCGCCAACCACATCAAAGTAATGATTATCAAAAAACAATCATTTTTTTGGGGACTTGACGCTGTCAAATTTTTGTGGCCATGCATGTCTGAATGAGATTTAGGTATATTTAAAACCTTTGTGAAATCATGAGGTCTGCATTGCACGGGACATACCGATGTCCATCATTCTCCCCGAAACAGCGGAGAATTTCTTCCGGGAGACAGTGCAGACCGGCGAGTGACTTGCCAATCTTCCGACATGTCTTCGATTTCCGTCAAAATGGGAAACATATGTGCAGTTTGAAATGTTTTCAAATTAGAGAACGATCAGACGCGATCAAAAATCAGAAATGACCGAAAATGCGCAAGACATAGTGATATGATTCAAACTGAGGAATTTTCGTATATTTTGAATGTGATTCATTCCCAAAATTTTTGATGGTTTTCTGTGTTTTTTGGTATGTGGATGTTTCTCCATTTCTTGATCTTCGTTCGCTTTTGTTTGGATCCCTTTGACATTCGTGAACTGGTTGTGATGAGGATTCGCATGCTGACCAAAGCTGTGGATGCCTTAAACGTGCGGGATGCAAAAGCTTCATCAGAGGCAGACGAGGCGAGCAACGGACACATGCCAACACAGCATAGCAGCAGAAAGGCAGCCACACGGGAAAAATTCAGGTGGAAACCTTCGATTGACAATCTTTTCAAGGTTTCTGATCAATCACAGTGTTTGGTGCAGCACATAGGCATGTTTGCAGCTGTGCCAAGGTCAATGCTTCCAGGTAGGATTTGTGACAATGCAAATTTTCTGATTTCAAATGAAAGAGTGCTCTTGCATGCTCTTGCAAAGATCCAGAAGAAATCAGATGCGAAAACATGAACGCACAGAGAAGGGAGAAACATAGGAAGGGGATGTACTCGTAACAATCACAAAAGGTTTGTCATACGTGCCTGGGTTGGATGTTGGCGTTTCGGAGAACCATCGGCGTTCCAAGATCCCATTCGATGGGCTTGGCAGGATCTGATCAAGAAAATAATCCTCAACGACATTGGTTTTGATCGCGTGAACAATGCAGTGCGCACGAAATTGGTCGACTCATTCTTGGAATTGCACCTTGGCATTGATTCTGGATGATTCTGGATGATTCTGGAGAAGTTTATCAATGTGGCAGCTTCCAAGTTATATCATATACAATATTAATCAATATTATACATATGGTTCATATTATACATTATACAATATTATACAATATTATACAATATTATACAATATTATACAATATTATACAATATTATACATATGATTCTTAGGATTTTTTTTTTCCCACCTGTCCTGAACTACAAGGGCCACCAGTTTGATGGATACCGGTTCCTGAAAAAAACAGAACCGTCCCATCACAAGTCCCCAGTCTTCAATCTTCTTCAACATAACTTCCCTGAAGTCGAAAGGAAGAACTGATAAAATCAAGATTTCCAAGTTCCAGCTAGCAAAGTGATGATTCAATAAAAACTTAAGGGGAGAAAGTCACAACATCACCATGAAAGAAACGACGAAAAAGTGACAAACCCAACATTAATGTTGGTGTAAGGCAGTGTAAGGTTTGCACTGAGCTGAAATCACTGTTTTGGAAGACATCGAAAAGAGGAGACGCCTGACGCCACACAACTGTGAAACTCAGTGTTCGGAGGTAGAGTGGCACATAAGAGTTGTTATGAATTGTTACTGTACACGATGGATGGTTGCTTTTCGAAGAAGCCGGTGTGGTGATGTGGTACATGTTTGCATTCTCTGTAAGTTCAGTGCGGCCGCGGCGTGCCACAAATTATTGCTTGACAGGAGCAACCAATCAGTAGTGAGTGCCATCCGTGACTCGTTGTGACCTCTTTTCATACCCAGCTACACATAAGATCCCATCAATGGGAATTTCAGGATCCTGAAATGGAGGTACCTACCATATATAAGGCCTATTCTTTAGGCCTAAATTTCAGGGAATATCTCCACAATTCATATGGCCAGAAATATGGTACGTTTACGTACCTCCATTTTAGGATCCTGGAATTCCCATTGACACCCTCTGGTAATTTAACATAACTATGGAAAATCACCATTTTTAACGGGAAAATCCAGTATAAATGGGCCATGTTCAATAGCTTTTTGTATGTTTACCAGCTCATAAACATAAGATCCCATGGTGCCAGAAACATGGTGACGATTGGAAGAACTGCCGGCTGTCGAGATGCTCAGGTTTCGGGATCTCTTCATGCAGCCGCGTTGAAGCTCATTTTGGACGCCAGTGGCCGAGAGAACAGAGATGATCATCACCATAGTTAAGGTACCATAGTTACTAGACTTACTATAGTAAGTTACCGATGGATGTTGAACTTGTGTTGGAACTTCTCTTTTTGATGTTGGTGGTGTGCTCAAGGGTCGTTTTCGCGCACCTTCGAAGAGTCAATTGAGGTCCTGAACGTTCCTGAGCCACGAACAGCTGTATCTCATTGCAGACAGCATTTTTTTCCAGGATGCCCTGGCCCCTTGTAGCCGTGGGAGAGTTCGCTTCAGTTTTGGATGCCAGAGCAGTGCTTCGGTTTTGGATGCCAGAGCAGTGCTTCGGTTTTGGATGCCAGAGCAGTGCTAGTTGCCCATGGAATTGTGAGATGATGGCCTTTTCTCGTAAAAGTCGTCATAGAGTCAAACTGTACTGCCGGTGTTGCGGTGATGATGCTTTGATTTGGAGATGAACTGGTTGAAAGTTTGCTTGGGTTGTCCAAGGGCTGCTTCTAAAACCTCACTTGTTGGAAAGCCTGAAAAAATGCACGTTGGACTTCTGAGATGGTGGTGATGATTAGCACGTGCAATCGCTGTTTGAAGAGGTCTTATAGCTGCCATGCATAGAAACCCTGATTTAGCTTGGGGAAAGCCAGTGCCCAATGACGCAGAAAACGAGGTGGGGATCTCTGAAGGGATCATATTTGAATGAGGAAGATTGACCATCAACGTGCTCTGGGTGAAAAGATGCCTACTAGGATGTGTGTTTTGGCAAACTCATTAGGGGTTTATGGATGTTTACGGGAGGTTTTGATGCTTCTGAATCGCAATTCCGTGCGCCGTAGTGTGTAAAAGCGGTAGAGATGCCTAGGTCAGTGGCTCATGGTTCACAGTTTAAGCAATGTAAACAACGCGTGAAGCAGCAGATAGTAGACAATTGTGGTTTTAAACGTGCAGAACAATCAGCATTGCATGTGAAGAGTCGTGGACACATGCAAAGTAGTATAGATTATCATGATTTCCTGATATGTCCAACGTGCATTTACTATCCATCAAACCATGAGCTACAAAGCAATGCGAAGTCGTTGCCACGAGAGGTTTTGAAGCACACTTGCTGTACTTGGACATTTGGTGGCCACACATGGGTCCGTCTTTGGTCGCGTTGTCTTCCTGAACTTTTTAGTGTCGGCGATCCGATTCTGAATTTGTACTGTGCATGCCGCTGTACAGCAGGTCTGGTCAGCAGAGGGCTGACTTGGGCCTTGGGCTGATTGGTGTTTTGAGGTTTGGGATGCGAAGAGATTGACGGGTTCCATTCATCACAATAGTGAATGGAATAATTACCTGGCAACTATATCATCACCTGGCAACCATCGAGATAATTAGTACTGTAGGGAACTATATCATGCTTCTATCTTGGTGGCAACCCCTTGAATACCCTCATTAGAATGAACTGCATCATAAATACACTACTGTACGTTGTTTTCCATTCATCTTTCGCTATCTTTGATTCCAGTACCGGAACATCCCTCATTGACAATAAATTTGAAGCTAGTGCTTTCAATGGCCTCATCCCTTTTTGTTAGAAAAAAATGATTGAAAACACAAAGGCCTAGAGTAAAACTTAAAACATCTCACAACACAATCACAACTGTCTCGACTGCGACTCGCATCCTTGGCCGCCAGCAGCCACGGCGATCCGCGGCCATACCTGACAGGTTTTGCATCCAGCGGAGAAAAAGTATCCTGCTGTACTTGTCTCTCGTACCATCCAATAGCCAGTTGCAAAGAAAATTGACCTGCAAAGTCAAGGTTATCACCACAGACTAGGAGCTTGCAGAAGGTTCGCTTGGTTGTTGGCCTGGCTACCTTTGGCGCCATGACAGTTGCAGTGATAAACTTAGGCATTTCTGTCATCAAAAGGGGATGATCAAGGCATCGCTTCCTTCGTTTTCTGATTCCATGCCGCTGCGTTGATCTTTGTTCGGCTCAGCGCTGTGGGACGGTGCAACACCAGCCTCTTTTTGCTGGCACTGCGGCTGTGTCAGCTGCTGAGCATGTGAGCATGTGGATTCAAAGACCCTGTTTGACATGTACGCTTGTCAACTCAAATGAAGCCATACATGTATACAGCATTATACAGCCATGATCCTTTCAGACTTGTATCTCACAGTTGTGATGTGGCCAAGTGGCAAGCGTATGCGCCATTTCTCCCCAGCCTTGCTGATTTCCCCCTTGATCATTGGAACATCATGGAGAAATAGACGCCGGTAGATTAGTGTGGGGGACTCGTGAAAAATCCATAAAAATCACACGATATTCTTAAACCCCCCCAGCACTGATTGTTGCACCCGGCACTGATTGTTGCAACAGGCAGCATTTGGACAGCTGACATTGCTAGTCGAGGCGAGGAACCTTGCGTGGTGACCTGTTCCAGCTGTGACCCGAACCCGATCACCAGAGCCACAGGGTAGGCTGTTTTTTTTGACAATTTGATGGCGCGAAGAAAATAAAGATATTTAAACTTCAAACACCACGTTTCGACCGAAGTCGGATCCAATACTTTGTCATACACGGTCTTACTTGATGAGTAGACTGCTGATGTCATGAAGGGTCTGTGGTCTGTCCACCAGTCTTACTGTAACGGTCCCCGCACAGAGGCACGGAGTAGGCAGTTTTCTAATCGTCGATTTGAGGATCTGCCTTGTCATTCAGTCACTCCTGAAAGGCCCACAAGGAAGCGTCGGTGAGGCTCTCTTTGAGTGAATGGGTAGCCGGACGCCTAGTGATTGGGATTGGGTTCGTTCCACGCTCTTGGATGATGCAGGGTTGCAATGTGAAGGTTTACTCAGGGTCCGTTTAGGATTTATTTGTTGGTTAAGGTATGTTAAGGTTTTGTTTAGGGCCAGTTTAAGGTTTCGCCAGGGTTGGTTTGGGGTTTATTTAGGTGGTTTATGGTTTACTTACCGGTTGCTTTAAGGTTTATTTTCTTTATTGCAGGGTGGTGGGATGAGGGGAGTGGTGGAATTTTCACGGAGAAAGGAGGAAGGTGGGTGGGTGGATGGTCACTTAACCCATCTTAACCTCCCAAGTCGTCATAGGGAAGTACCATCAGAAAAAAGAGCTAGGGGACAAGGGTGATCTGACCAATAGTGGTATGGAATACATTTGATCCACATATGGGTGTGTCACAGCATGGTGTTTTCCTTCCAAAAGGCAATTTCAATAGGAAAAAAAAACAATTTCAATAGAGAAAATGATGATAAACCAGGCAATTTCGGGTATTCTATTTTGAAACAAGTCCATATATGCCGATATAACGTTTGTTTTTTGGGTTAATCCGCGAAAATGATCTGATACATTTCACTAGGGGTAGGATGCATGATCCCTGGACGACTGAACATCATGAAGACTGGTGATTCATCGATGCCTGGGAAAGACCTGGAGCTGCCACATCCTGTTTTAACATGTTTCAACGCGAAGAAGCGGTGCTTCAATCGGCCGCGGCAAAACATGGTTTCAAGTCGTGCAAACACCAATTTCCAGTGGTATCATCCTCCCAGTCTTGTTCTTGCAGCTTTAGAATTCGTCATTGAGTAACGAGCAATTCTTTTTGGCATCCAGTATCATTCAGCTAAGAATAGGTACACCGTAAATGTGTCATCGCCCCAAGAACGACAACCTTCATGGGGGTTTTGGCCACTAATTTCCACAGAACATGTCCATCAATTGCAGTGGCACAGTCTTGAACTGAGCAGCATTTACCCGGTTTGTGATAAATCAACACATAAATACATGGATTAACAAACATATGAATATATTATATTTCTTTCAAATATGGCTATGATTGAAACGGGACAAAAATGGTTCGATACTCACAGACGATTTATAATGCTGCAAGAGGGCAAGATTGGGAGGATGATACCAGCAGCTGCTGTTTGCACTCTTTGAAACAATGAGATCAGTGGTCGTTTCAGGAACCTAAATTGGAGGTACCTACCATATATAAGGCCTATTTTTTAGGCCTATTTTTTTAGAGGATATCCCCACAAAATATGGCGAGAAATATGGTACGTTTACGTACCTCCATCAATTGGATCCTGAAATTCCCATTGATACAAATGAGCAGTGTTCAAAACCCCTGTTGGTTGATGATTATAGGGGATTATACTACCCTTTCTATATTGGGGCTTATAATAATAGGGGATTTTCCAATAGGGGATTATACTACCCAATAATAGGGGATTATTATATTTCCACTATTGGGGCTTATAATAATCATATAATAATCCAAGAACGGGGAATCCATGTCGAATCCATGTCTGCCATGTCTGCTGTGTCTGGAAGCACCGTTTCTATAGAAGCGCTGACCCAGAGGATGTGGCAGCTCCAACCGCGGTTGTTTTTCTCTTTTTTTTGGGATGGTGTTCGAATTTCCCACCTCGGTTTTCCAGCCAATCGAGTATTAAGTATGTGCATTTAGGGTGATGTTTTTGAGTCTTTGGGGAATGTTTGACAAGCAACCACAGCAGATCAATCAGACAAATCCAATTTCATGTTTGATTGTGAAATATGTTGTGTCACCATTACCACCTAATTAACCCAACCACTAACCCCCATCAACCCCCCATTAACCCGCCATTAACCTTCACTACCCCCCCCGGCCTTCATCAGCCCCCATCAACTTCCATCGCCCAGGTCGAGAACATTGGTGGAAGACGATCAAAGTCCCCGTAGGTACCGGGGACTAGAACAATTCGGGCCATTTTGAGTAGTTGGCCGTTAGTTCCTTTGTTGATTTCAAGCGACTTTGATTGAGGAATATGTTATTTTTTCAAGGATCACTGACATTTTGAAGACCCCAGTTTTATGTCAATTTCCAAACACAAATTATCCAGTGGATGTCTGAATGTTAGTTGACACACCCCTTTCATTTCTGATTTCCCTTTACCTTCGGAATTTGAACCGGCTCTTTGCTGAAGCAGCTGTGCACGGATTTGCGGTGCTTGTGTTCACCGCCAGCCTGCTGCGTGCGAAGGAAATATGCAGATGGATGAGTGCCAAGTCGCTTGGGGGCCAAAAAATGCTGGGTGTTTCCTCATTGTCAGTTGATATCTTGCCGCAATTCGCAATCTCCTTTTTCGGAACATCATTTTGAATCACTGGGGCCGCGGTGTGTCGTTGCGACCGCACGTATTCAGCACATACCCTCTGGTAAACGTTAACAAAAAGCTATTGAAAATGACCATAGAAATAGTGGATTTTCCCATTGAAAATTGTGATTTTCCATTGTTATGTAAACGTTTACCAGAGGGTAACCAAGGAAAACACAACACTCATGACATGCATGACACACACACACAAGCTCCTTTGCGGTCACGAGAACCGCGCTCAAGCGCGTTGTGAGCTACGCTGCAGCTTCCCTTTGCATTGATTTTCGATCGTTTTCCTTGCCATACGATTTGCGCTGTGCTGCCCTGACCATTTCTCTAATTTCCATTTTGGCTTGAGACATCACTGACCTGTGGAGAATCATCACCAGCGATCCTGGCCGTGATTGTGGCCAGACTGCCTGAAGCAACGACTCTCCATTCTTGTGCCATTTATTTTTCCTGGTTGCCGTGTTTGCTGTGCCTATCTGGCCACCTGTCGACAATACCAGTTGGACTGCTGCCAAGCCATCAAGGGGCAGGCTCTCAAACGGCACCTGGCCTGACGAATTCTTGTTTGCGATCTTATTTGATTTTTTCGGATCACAGTGCTGCGCCGGACATTGTGGGGGTCCAGCCATACTGTAGGGTAGGCTCCTACCGATTTCTGACTGGCCTGGACTGGACCCCAACATATTGCTTTAACCATTTACAGACTGGTGGCGCCCTTTTCATTTTCATACAGACTGATTCATTACAGGTGGTCCAAACGCCTCGAAGTTTGCTTGATTTGATTCGATGGGCTCACACCTGTTCTTTGGTTTGTGTCATTGGCACGATTGCAGACACGTGGGTGAACATTTTTATTTCCAGTGGACACTCCACCAGTGTTTCTGCAGGGTGGGCTCCTGTTTTTCATTTTCTGGCCTACACTGGTGGGAGATTGGGAATACCTGCATTTGGATTCACCATCGAAGGTTCATTGGCCATTTCCTTGCCTCCAGCTCAACTGCTGCTTCCACACCCTGCGGAATAGGCCCCCGACATCTACTGCCTGGCCTTGTGGAAACAGCAATCATTTTGTGGACTCTGGACATACAACGTGCAACAGGTTTTTTATCTGCATTACAATACAGTGGGGTGGACTCCCAGTCTGATTGTTCCGATTTTGGAGACGGTGCTGTTTTGGAACCTGTGACGTTTTCCTCATCATTGGTGCTTGACATTCACTTCAACAGTGCTGGTGCCTTACATTGCACCAGCTCAGCAAGACTGCTTGGGGTGGGCTCCCATTTGAATATCTCACTGGCCTGGCAATTGTACATTGATTTTATTTCCTTATTTATTGGTTTTCTAGGGGTGGGCTCCCTTTTTCAATTCTCACTGGCCCGGTTCCAACTTTTCTTACATTTCGTGAAACATTTCACATTGAACGTGTCAGACGGCGACTATTTTCGGATTTTTGGGCTCCCATACCTGCTGGCTCAACGTTTGGCCCTTGTGTGGACCCTGACACCAGATTTTTTGCACTGGCATTGGACGTACGTGGATATATTTATTAATTTTTGGCAAGGATTCCTTCTGATCATTGAGAAGCTGTGGTTAGCTGCATCGTGTGGCGGCGTTCCAACTCAAACCTGGTTCAGAGACCGCAAGCCTGGTCCCAAGTCCAGGCATTGGATCCCAGTGTTTTTGCTGATTATTTGCTGCGTTTGGAATTGCCAACTGGCGCCCAGTTGCACGGGATCTGATAGGAGCGAGGGTTGCACTGTAGCCATGGACAGTGCTGAAACGTCCACTGATTGGACACACCACTTCATCCATAGATCTGACGTGAAGCTACATGGCAAGCGGCCACCAATGTGCGCTAGCACGCCAGTTGAGCTGACCCATCGTGCCTCTCCTGTTGTTAAGAGAAGTCTTCAACGAGCCCAAAAAAGGGCCCAACGCAGTGGAATGGCCTGGTATCGTGGGCGTTGCCTCACTCCTGAGGATTTCCTCAAAATGGGGATGCGCCCGCTGAACACTGATTTGCCCCCGATGACGCCTGCCAACCTGGCAACATGCAATATGCACAATGCCCCTAGGAAAAGACTCACATGCCTGACCTGGAATGGAGGAGGGCTCTCCAATCACCGATTGGACGAGCTCAAATGCTGGCTTGTTCAGCAGCAAATCCAAATAGCTGCAGTGACCGAAACCAGATGGAGCTTCTGTTCAACCTGGAGTGATAATTCCTGGCACCACATCCACAGTGCGGACCCTGATCACCGAGGTTCTGGAGTGTTGATTTTAGTTGCCAAGACACTTTGTGATGCCAACAATTTGCGCTGGAATGACATTGTACCGGGACGCCTCCTCCATGTACGCCTGCACATGAACCCACGGAATATTGACATCCTGGGTTGTTATCAACATGTTTTTGCAAGGGATAAAGGATGCCTGCAGAGACGTGAACGATTTCGGTTGGCTTTGGAACAACAGCTCCAGCAAATCCCAAATCGGAATACAGTAGCTGTCCTTGGAGGCCTGAACTGTTCCCTAATGGAGAGCTCTGGCACCTGCGGCACGTCTTTCTTCCGTTGGAACCACCAATTGCTGCATGGCTTGAAACATTCCGACAGTGAAAGGTTTGCACAAATCCTTCGTGTTGGAGGACTTGTAGCTTTGAATACATGGGACTCCTCATTGGGCCCGACATTTGTGCAAAACGGATGTGCCAGCAGGATCGACTTCATTTGCACACGTCGGCATTTGGCTGATGGTCAGGCTCGGAGAGTTCAATACTTATGGGAGGCACCCTTTTTGCCCCCTGGTCAATATGGCCATGTCCCTATGGTATGTCATTTGGCTAAGTACTGGGTGCCACCTGCACACCATAATGCAAATAGCCTGACACCACACCAGAAACGATGTGGACGCCTTGCCAAATTGTCTGGTGATGTGGCCTGGCGTCATTTTCTGGCTGCTTCTGGCGATACCATTTGCGACCAATTTCACCGGGTGCTGACCTTAGCTGAATCTGAGCTTTCCAGGGTACATGACACTGCCATCAATTGTTTTTCACAGTCTTTCCCTGCTGTTAGTGCCATAAGATCACCTGACCCATGGCAGACTAATACGGTTGTATTATCCAAATTGGCACACAGATCGCATGCACGACAGATTCAAACTAGTGATTTACATGGCTGTTTTCATGCGTGGTTTCACATTGCCAAATATCAGATGCTCACAAGATCACATCGCAGGTTTGCACAGAAACAGAGACGCCAGCGTTTTGAGGAGATCGTTCAACTTGCCAATCAAGCCGCCTTACAACACAACACCCACCAAATGTTTGACATCATCAATCGATTTGCTCCCAAGACCCCCATGCGTAGGATGCAGCTTCGCAATGACCTTGGAGCCCTGATGACAATTTCTGAGGAACGCAGTATGCTTGTTGCATATGTCAGACAAACATGGCATGGACACCCCATGACCCTGCGCCCTTGTCATTCTCCTCCAGGAGTGCCGTTTACGGTCCAAGAACTTGCAGGTGCACTGAGAGACATTCCTACTGTCAAAGCAGTGGCGCCGCCTTGCGCTCCAGGTTGCATTTGGAACTCACATGCAGACACCATTGCACCCATTTTGCATGAGATCCTTAATCAATGGTGGAATACCCATAATCCCTGGATCCCTGCCATGTGGCGCTCAGGCTGGCTACAATTAATCCCTAAACCCAATAAACCTCCCAATAGACCCCAACATCTCCGACCGTTGGCCATCCAATGCCCTTTGGGTAAGGCCGTTTTGGGCCTGCTCATTCGAATTGCATCCAAACAGACTGAATGTGAGTTCCGAAAATGGCCCATTTGGGCTTTCATGCCGAAGAGGTCGACGCAAGACCCTCTCCTGAAAGTGGCATCTCACTGCCGTGAAATTCAAATTTTGGTTGCCGCGCAGAAATCGACCCCGCATTCTCGTGCTGCGCAAATACCACATTTTTCTTGCTTTGGTGGCCTACAGATATTCATAGACATAGATAAGGCATTTGATTCTGTCAATAGGACCAAATTGTTTTGTCGCCTCCACCAACTACAAATTGATGATGCAGTGATCCAACTCCTCCAAAGATGGCACTTCGACACATCATATTTTGTAACACATGGTGGAGAATGTGTGGAAGTCAAGGTCAATCGTGGCTTGAGGCAGGGATGTAAGGGTGCACCATATTTATGGAATTGCATGATTGTCCTTCTGTTGCATGAGTTACAAGCCACTGTCTCATTGCATTGGATCTGCACGCACCTTACAATATATGCGGACGATTGTCATGTTGGAGGGGTCTTCGCAAACGTTGAAGAATTCAAACTGCTGTTACAAACTATTGGCCAGTTGTTTTCTTTGCTTCATGAATTTGACCTGACAATTAGCCCGCAGAAGTCAGTTGCCATTCTTTGCATGCGTGGCCACCTGGGCCGGAAAGCACGTGCTGCCAACACCCAGCGAGATCATAAAGGGGAGCAGCTCAAAATTCAACTCCCCAATGCCACAGTGATGCTGATCCCAGTTCAAAAGAGTGCCAACTATCTTGGATGTGTCATTGGATATCACAATTTTGCAGATTCCACAACATGGCATCGAGTGAAACTTGCGCGCGCTGGCTTCTCCAGACTCAGACGTTGGCTTTGCAACAGAACTCATTTTTCGATCCAACAAAGGGTACGGCTTTGGCGTTGTTGCATCCTCCCCATCATGACATATGGTGTTTTTGCGGTAGGAACCACCCCCAAAGGTATCCAACACATGATCACACAAATTGGACTCATGTTGCGGACGATTGTCAGGGATCACCCTCATCACACTGGCAATTCTCATGAACAAGTTTTTTCTGCATTTGCATTGCCACGACCGGCTGCCTTGCTCACGGCGGCTGTGGATTCATTCCAAAGGTCATTGACTCAGCGGAAATCAATTTTGCATGCAGATGATTTGGCAATGACGCTGCAATGGGACCACCTGGCCCTCATTCGAACACAAATTTCAGAAGTTCAGGCTGACCTGGCTCGAAGACGTGTCGAGACTGCCCTCTCTGGTGAGGTCCAGGGATCAGACATCCGATATCATTGCAGGTTGTGTTCATTTTGCACTGACCATGTCTCGGCCTTCCGTAGACACTGCACTGTTGCACATGGGACCCAGATGTACAGGCATTTTAACATTTCCATGCATGACTATTGCACTGACGGCCTGCCTCAATGTAAGTATTGCCACCATTCCTTTTCCACTTGGAGAAGCTTCCGCATTCACATAGAACGTGGCTGTCAGGCCCTTCTTCTTGGACCTGCACATTGCACTGGAATCCCATTGAAGGCTACAATGACATCGAGCCTCAAGCTTCCAACTGATGCTGCCTCTGCTAGAGGCCTAGTGATGCTGAATGATGCTGATCTTCAAAATATCCTAGCCCAACCCTGGGGATCACGTGTGCTTGGCATGATTGCCGATGACCGCCTGAGCCAACTCGAGCAGGAACCAGAAGCGTGCAAGTACCTCTGCAAATTCTGCTTCTTGTGTGGTCAGCATGCTCACCGTATCCAGGACATGCACTGGCACCTCAGCACAGAACACCCACAATATTGGACTCACGTGCCTGCCAAGTCTAGGATGATGTGCAACCAATACTGCACTGACTCACCATGTCAATTTTGCGGCAGTGGTTTCCGCACACATCAATGCCCGATCTGGGCTCAGATGGCAATCCTTGTTTTGCACGGTGGAGGACTGGCGTCTCTGGGGCCAGTACAGATCCAAACCCAGCTGGAGGCCATTCACCGTTGTGACGTTTGTTTTGAGCTGTTCAATGACTCTGCACAACTCATTCAACATTTACAACGTGTCCATAGATTGCTGGAGTGAGTTTCAACGTGGCCAGAGACAGTTTGGATGGACAGGCGGCATGTGCCCACTGTGGCAAGATCTACTCCTCACTTGAAGGACTCCGGTCCCACATAGTGCAGGGACGATGCCCTGAATTCAACCCGGCAGCAGAGACAGAGACGGTACCCATTCCTCAGGCCTGGCATGACCTCTGTCTCCATGGAACCATGTTCAGTCATTTGCAGCCACCCATGACACGGCTCCATTTGACCATACGGTGCAGCCAATGCCAGCAGGTTTACACCCGGGCTGGAGACCTGGCAAACCACCTTATGACCAGCCATGCCAAGTTGTGGAGGCAGGCACAAAGCCTCACTTTGGTTCTGGTGGAACTTGTGTTTGCCCGTCTGGGCTGTGTTTGCAACCCGCAAATACATCAGGTTCGACAAAATCACATTTGTCTTCCCCTGCGCCAGATTGCCATGATGTACATCAGGTTGGAACAGGTGCCCTTCATGCCCATTCCAGTTACGGAAGAGGTTCTGCATCAGCTGGTCCATCCCTCAATTCCCAGGCCAATGCATTTCAGGCTCACCAAACTCTTTGCTGACCGACAGTTTAGTGACATGTGGACAGACGCAGAGGTCAAGCAGATGCTGAGCCATGCTTGCATCATGTGTGGACAGGCGCACTTGCCTGGACTTTTGAGTCGACATTTGCATGAAGCACACACATGTGGGCACCAATTTGCAGACTTCTACAGTGACACATTGCTGCCTGTTTTTCAGCACCTGATGCAGTCCGATTTTCAATGTGAGTTTTGTGGCCAGATCTTCAATCTCCCGTATCCATCTGATGCGCCTGACACCACTGCAGCCAGACAACAGTTGGTTCAGATCCATCTGCGTGGCAACTGCCCGGTCCTTCTGCAGACTGCTTTGCTGTTGGGAACCGCCCTGAATGGAGGAAGACTCGGTTATGAATGGCTGGGACGAGATGGCACTGGGCGAGATCAAGGAAACCTTTGAGTTCCTTGCGCCGATCTTCGACAAGAGCTTGAAACTTCAACCCAATCCCAGGGCAATGAAACAACGCAGAACCGAGGGCAAGGCAGACCAGACCGATCAAGATCCACCAGGACGAGAACCACAGAAGGAGATCCTGCAGTACCTGCGGGTCCTGGGCCAACTGGCGCTGCGTCACGAGCGCAGCTTGAACTTGCTGCAAAGTACAGACTCTTTCATACTGTACTTCCAGCAGGACAAGGCGGGCAGTCTCCACTTTCTAGACGATGGTGACTTATGTGGGTTGGGGCATGGCTTATAACCTATGCATTTATATTTGTAACCTGCATAATCCTGCAGGTAAATGCAGCTAACTCCTTCACGTCTGCGCACTGACTTATAACCATTTGTGGGAGTTACAAGTGGAGATACTAACCAGATATAACTTGGTTTATATCTGGTTATAAGCCGTTTATAAGTCTCACCCGTGGTCTGCTGCAGAGCTGCCCGTGCGGACTTATAAGCCAGTTAGCTAAGTCCGGCTAAGTCACTTATAAGTGGGCTGCACGGTGGCTTCACGGTGGATTCACGGTAGATTCACGTTTTTTTTTTTTTTTTCGGAAGTTGTTCTTCAACCTTCCTGACTCGGAAGTATGTGAACTTACCTTTCTGTAACTCGGAAGTTGCTCTTCTATAACCTTCCTTTTCCTACCAGCTTTGTACACAAATGAACAACTCAGCTTACCCCAAAAAACCTCTATAACCCTGTTGTGTTTTTATTGGGGTGGCACCTATATAGTAAGAAATCAACCAGTACCATAGATTTTGGATAGTGCAATAAAATCCATTTATATACCATGAAAAAAATCCACTTGTATCTGTATGTTATGCTCTTTGAGACATCTTCAAAGCAGCGCACAATGTGTTCTCAATTTTTATACACCTACAAAAGGGAAAACCACCAAAGGGGAATTTTTGGTCTTGCAAACAGTGATTACATACATGTGGCTAAATCCCGCAGTTGGGGTTCAATTTCATTTTCGAATCCAAACGGCCATGAGCGGCAAAGACTTTGAGCGGCTGTTTCAAGATTTTGAAGCAAGGGCAGAATATTTGAAATGCAGCCATGCGGCTGCCTCATCAGCATCTGGCAGTCGGGTTGAATTATCCCAAAAGGTCATTGACCAATTTGTGGCAGGGTTGGGGGGCATGAGTTTGAACGCTTCTCGGGCTCAGCGGCTGTTCACGTTGATTTCCGGCAGCCCTTTCGATGAAGGCCAGAGACCTTCGGTGTTTATAAATAGTTATTTTGTTATCTATGTTCGTTTTGTTCTTTTGAGTTGAATTGTCATCGTTTTGGGGATAAAAAATCACTCATTGAGGAAGTATATAGGGTTCCCAGCTTTCAACCCCATCATGACAAGGAAAGCAGTTGACTACCGCTATCGATGAAGCTGTCAACCGGGGACTATCAGATGACACTCCTAGTCAAACACCACGGAACACAGACAAAAGTGTCCAACATGCCTTTTTCCAGCACTACCTGACCGAAAAAGATTGGGAAACGTTGCAGGCCTGATTTTTCCACTTTAAAGACCCACCAAACAAACCAACATTTTTTGTGTGTTTTCAAAAGGGTTCCTCTTCAAAGTAGGATGGCAACACTTGTCAGATTTGTGTGTTTTTTGGGGTTTTACGGTTAACCAATATTTCACCAACCATTTGAAATTACCAATGATCTCATGTGAGGCCCCAGGGATGGATGTCAATACCAAGATCAGGGTCCTGGTGAAAAGGCGCCAAGCTTTGAGGATGAGACACATTTGTGAGGACACAGCACGGCGCATCTGTTGTGTCTTAACTTTGTCGGGGAACAGCCGCATGTGTGCAGCCCAAGTTGATCCTTTTGAGTTTTATGGCCTACTTGGGGACTTCAAGGTGATGCTGAGGTTTGCTTGGAAGAACAGTTCCGTCGAACCTGTTACTTTGAAATCATTTCCAGCAGATCCTACAAAACTCAAACCGGTTTCTTGATGTTTCATATGTTCAGGTTTTAGTTTTGAGACCCCAACTGTTTGACTGGTTTACAATGTTTCATTCAAGAGTTTCAATCTTAATTTTTATGGTTCAAGCTGAGGACTTGTTCTCCAGTGCATATCATCGTGATGAGCCACCAGTCCGGAGTAAGCTTGATGAAGGGATTCTGTTAGAAATGGTGTCTACACTTCCAGCTCGGAACACCCATGGGACTTTGAAAGGGGGTTGTGCTAGTGGCTCCAAGAATCAAGCTACCATGACCCTTAACAAGTTGAACTCGTTTTTGCAGCGCCTTGAAGGGTTTGGAGGGCAAGACTATCGGGCGAGGAGGGGTTCTACACGTATCAAGATGTTGAAGGGGCATGATGAAGAGGAATTTGAAGAACAGCATCCTACGCGTCGGCGGAAACCTGAACCTTTGCAGATCGAGTATACCCCTAGAAACTGGTTTGAAATAGTAATTCATCAACGGTTTTTTCCACCTTTGTTTTCCCATTTGGAGACCTGGAAAACCTTAGACATATTTGTTTAAATAATGTTCCCTTTCTTTATAAGGAGAAGGAAGCAGCACACCTGCCGAACCTCCGGTACCGAGCCAAAAGACGACCGAACCAGCACCTGCAATGCCTGATATGCCTGATGAGAAGTCAAAATCGAAAAAGGGTTCCTAAACGAACATTCGTCATTTTGTGGAGATTGGGACCCCTCTGGGTTTGAATTGGAAACAAATAGAAACAAAAGATACATATTATTTCATGTCATGTTTAAAATTGGTATCCTGGGGGATGGAAAAATAGAATATATATATATAGGTATATTCATCCATGTGATTGGGTTCTCTGTTCTATTTACTCCTTCCAAACGGAAATCGAGGTGAAGAAGCGACAAAAAAGGCATCGATTTGCGATATGGCAAGCTCCATGCTCAAAGTGCTTGGTGAAGAGGGTTTGTCGAAGGATTTAGAGTTGCCCAAGAAGGGATCCCAACCGAAATCCAAAAGTCTTCCAAAGCCAAAGTCCAAGACTGGGTTGAAGATTACCAAGTGCAGTGCAGCTACCAAACCCAAGCCGCAGCCTACTATCTCGTGTTCGAAGAACAAGCCACCGGGGTTTCCAGGAACCAAGAGACAGCCACCAATTCGTTGGGGATCTTGCACAATCTACACATCAGACACCAAATGGCGTGTCAAGTTGAATGCAGGGGACCGTTTGGATGTACCTAAGCTATTTACTGACCAACCCAAAAAGGGCTGGCAGGAAGTCATCAAGCTCTGCAAAGAGAGGGGCACTTTTGAGAAATGAATGGCCAAATTTGTTGAAACAACAGAGATTATTTGGAGTTTCTGCATGATATAGGGGTCTGCAGGAGCAGCTGTGAGCTGTATACGTCAAGGACCATCGGCGCGTGAAAGGGAAACAACTGATCAACTTGCAAGGATTTTCACATGAGTATGGGTCAAAACAAGTTTATGAATCATACATGGAAAACCTTCAAAAGGACAAAAAACGAACCATAAATCCTTATTTTATCTAGTCGATACATTTTGACCCATACCCACATGTTGCTGTATTTCCAAATCTCTTGATTGATTGGTGAGGTTAGTGTTCCGAACATGTCATCCACTTTCTCGTACAAACTGGATTTCTGTCAGTGCTGTTCTTGATTTGGGTTGTTAAAATCATCCAAAAAAACACAATTTTCAACATGTATAATATTTTAAATATACATATTATATACATATACATATATTTACAAATATATTTATTATATTTACATGTATAATCATGTATATATATATACACATACACATACACATATCATCATATATCATATATTCATAGGTTGGGTCCCCAACTGTGGAAACGACTGCACAAAGCAATGGCGCTGAATTTCAAAAGCAAATCCAGTTTTTTATTTTTGCAGCATTTGTGTACGAGGGTTTCTTTGAAAGCAACCTGTTTTCCCATGGCGGCTGCTTCTACTCCCATAGACATCGACTCAGAGGATGAGACTAGCAGCGCTGATAGCCAAGATACCCGATACCGAGATCGATGCCCTTCCAGAACACCAAAGAGAGATAGAAAACGTGGCATCCACTGGTCTAACTTCCCGAAGTATGATGACCCGACACCAAAGAAACCGAAGTCTAGTGAAGAAGTCAAGGAGGTGAAACCACCACCTGTTTTGCCAATCCTTGAATATGAGGATTGAACACTTTTTGGAATCCAAATTCAGTTTCAAAAGGGGTCGGCCTACCTGAGCACTTATAGCTATGGGGTGCCAGCTTTGCAAAACCACAGGGTTATGCCATCGTCCGCAAAAAAGTTAAAAAGGTTCCGCAGAGAAGAGCATGTGCAAATCATACATTTTTGAAATCTCATATGCACACTGGAATTTGGATCTTGCCAAGAACTCTCTCACACACTTACTGCGCATCAGTCTCTCTCTCTCTCTCTCTTCCTGAGTCGGTGCTTGATTTTTTGCTGAATTTTGGAACTTGTTTTTCTTAGGAGGGTTTTTCCAAGAAGCAAGACATCCAAACGGTCAAAAGTCTATTTGAAAGAAATTGGCAAATCAGCTATGATGCAACACTCTTGAAGGACACTCATGTGAGACACTCTTTCACAGCCAGATATTTTATGCCCAAATTTTGTATAATTTTGTGATAGATAGATTTGCGTTTTTGTTTCCAGCCCGATGGCGTCCTCTGCTGGAGATACTGCTTCGGTCTGCAGCGAAGCACCTTCTCATGCATCTACCTTGGTTTTGCCTGGGGGAGCCGAAGTTCCCGAAGATCTTCAAAATGCAGCCATCCATGGTGGTGACGGCAAGATGTGTTGCACTTGCGATAGCAAGGTCAAGAAGGAGGATTCAGTTTGTGTGAGGGCATCTTCCAAGGTCCAGCCAGAAGGGGTCTGGCGTTGTCGGCCATGCCATGCCCTCAAGAGCAGGATCAACCGTATCATGAGCAAGAATGGCCAGCTTGCTCGTGATTGGGGTGAGATGAGTGAGAGTGAGCGTGCGGCTTTTGTCAAGGAGAACAAGAACCTTTACGGATCTGATTTGGAGCTGAGAATCTCTGAGTCCATGACCATCACCAAGGCCAAGAGATCCTTTACTTCCTTCACTGGCAATGGTGACTTCAGGACTGAGCTTGACATCCGTGAGAAATGGAAGAGTCAGCCCGATGTTGCAGACAACATCATCAAGTTTGGAAGGAAGTTTCTTGACCCCGTGAAGAAAATCTACCTGTACGAGGATGTTTCGTACTCCACCAAGCAGGAAGATTCCGAAGAGAGGAAGGAGACCCAGCGTATGCGTTTGGAGGCTGGGCCAAATGCTCTTGTAGTTGACGGTGATGGGAACGAGGAGAAGGAGAAGGATGGAGAACCCCAACCAGCCCGCAAGAAGTGCAAGACCAACAACCCGAAGAAGACCCAGGATTTGACTGGTGAATCCACCAAGAGCAAGCCTGAGAAACCTTCTAAGGTGAGCAAGTCCGACATTTCCTTTGCCAAGAAGTACATCGCCCAGCTGGCCCCGCAGAAGGTGGAGCTCAATGGGTTGAAAGAGAAGACCAGCGGCCAGGAGCATCTGTACCCAGCACATGTGCTCACGTATGCACAGCAAACCCTGGGAAAGATTGATGAGTGGTACAACATGATTGAGCCCATCTTCAAGGGTGAGAAGCATTTGGAGGATGTCCAGCCAGACAAGAAAAAATTCGAAGAGGAGATCAAGCACATCGTTGGTGAGGGGACTATGGCCATCGAAAGATTGCGGGTGCAGGTGAACGAAGTGAGCCGATGGAACAAATGAGAGGGGGGCTGCTGCTTTTGTTCGATGCAGAGCTGCAATTTTATTTTGGCAGCTCTTGCAGCTGTTGCTAACATTTGTCCGGGTTGCATATTGCAGCTGCAATATTTTGAGCAGGTGTTAGGATCTGGTTCAAACACTGGCAAAATTTGAAGCTATGAGCCTGTGAAACAGTGAGACTTTCACAAATTTGGGCAGGCAACGGAGAAAAAAACTCAGCCTTGAGACCAGTTGTTTTTGCTGATCTGATGTTGGATCATTGCCATTGTTTTCTGACCACTCCACTCTTAAACCTCGAGTTGATTGCCATTCCAAACTTTCTCACTGCACCCTATTGCACTGCATGGGAGAAACTTGAGAAAACAAGAAGGCATTATTTTTGGGTTCCAGTTTTTGAGACTTTGTTTTTGAAATTTCATCCAAATATTTGAGTGTATAGTGAGAGTATCGTAAGAGTATCGTAAGAGTATCGTAAGCGTATCGTAAGAGTATCGTAAGAGTATCGTACATATGTAAGCGTATCGTAAGCGTATCGTAAGCGTATCGTAAGCGTATCGTAAGAGTATCGTAAGAGTATCGTAAGAGTATCGTAAGGATATCCTGGAGAGTATCATGAACATACGGCAAAATTTCCTGCTTGGTCCTGCATCTTTCAGCTGGGGTTTGGGGTCTGCAGATTTGCCATGTCGGTGCTTCCAGCGACGGCACAGAGATTTGGTCCACCTGATCTTGAAGGTGTTCCATCTGCACCGGACTGGGTGCACTATGTGAAGAACAAGGTGGCCAAGTTTGGGAGGCCTCTGAAACTTTGCTGCCCATGCATCGGGCTCAACAATGGGGGCAGGGCTTTGAAAGAACTTGGCATCGACTATGAGCTTGTGGGGTCTTGCGATGTGTTGTCACATTTGGAAGAGCCCCTTGAACAGTTAGAAGGCAACCTGAATGGCATCAAGTTAGGCACAGAAGCTGGGGACATTTTGTCCATGGACTTGGAGACCCTCCCAAAAGAAGTGGACATTTTGATGGCTGGACCTCCATGTCCACCATTTGCTTCGAATGGAAATCGAAACCCAAAAGAGGATGAACGAACCAATGTGTTTTACCAGGTGATTCTTTGGATTGTCCTGTTTGTTCGTCGAGCTGGCCTTCTCTATGCTTTGGTTGAGAATGTGCAAGGTTGTGCCAACCGGCTGAATGGGGCTACCAAAAGTTTCATGGACATCCTTTTGGAGTTCTTCGAGCAGGAGTTGCCCGAGATGGTTTGGCGTCTTGATTCCCTGAATGCTGCTAACTATGGGTTGGCGCAATCACGAAATCGAGTTTTTCTGCAAGGGTTGAGACACTAGCTTCAGCTTTAGGAATGTTTTTGCAGTTTTTGGTTTTTGAAGGGGTAGACCACAAAAGAAAAATACATGCATATAAATCAGATAAATAACACAAAATTTCCAATTTTCCTGGTTGAAACTTTTGAGGACGAGATGTGAAGAGCTCCGTTCCTGCACCTTTACCTGCCTTTGAGCCAGTTTCTCTGAGAGATTTCTTGAAACCTGGACTACCTCCCACACCGAGGGACAGCTTGACGAAAACCATGCAGACCAATCTGAAAAACTATGAGGGCTTGGTTCGCCAAAAGAAGAAAGATGGCACCATTCCAAGGGGTTCCCTGGCTGTCTTTGAACTGGATCGGGCATTTGGCAAAACCTACAACCCATCCATGACATTGGACATGTCACCTTGCCTGAAAACCCAACTCCGCTACTTGTTTGTGGTGTCCACGGATGATGTGGATTTGGCTGACGGACAACGAGAGTTCAGCAGATGGATCTTACCATTTGAGCGACTGTCCTTGCAGGGCGTCGCCCCAGATGTGGCTTTGACGATGCGGGCAGGTGGCACCCGTGGTGAAGGCCATCGAGATCCGTTTTGGCACTTTGACCTCATGGCCGAAGAAGGCACCTTTTGATGGAGGAGACCTACCTGATGTCCGGAGCTTCTTTTTGGCCCAGATCCCCAAGAAGGCTGAGAAGAGTGACCGTAAGAGTTCCAAGCAAAAGGTTTTGAAAAAACCTGGGGGGAAATTCAAGCCAAAGGTTTTGAAAAAACCGGCTGGCAAAAACACCAAGAAAAAGGTTTCAAAGAAACCAAAAGCTTCCAGCATGAAGAAGACAGCCAAGACTCAGAAACCCAGCTCTGGCAAACCGTCAGAGAAACAAATGCCAAAGAAACAGAGCTCTGGCAAACGAAACACCGAAGAGGTATCTTTGAATTTTGGGCTCACTTTGACAAAGAGCAGCAAGTGCAAGCGTGGTGTGGCCATCAGCAGTGACAGCGACTAATATGTTTTATATTGACCCAATCTTCAACAAAAAACTTATTTTTGGCAAACTCTATATGTCCTATAAGTTTTTGTGCTTCCATGGGATTTGCAAGGCCATACAGCCACACAGGCTTCTGTGCAGAGATCTCTGCAATGGGCGTATGAAAATCGATGCGGAGCATTTCAACCGCCAGTGGTATAGTGGACCACTGTTTCAAAGAAACACCAAAAATTGATGGGAATTCCACCAAATAATTTTCAAGCATTATATATGGGAGTAAACATGGGTACCTCCAAATGATCCAAAATTACACCAGGAAAATATTGAAACGATCCCCCGTTTTACGAAACTTCCATGTAGGGAATCCCAAATCAACCTGATTGAACGATGTGTTTGAATATGTAGAAATTGTTTGAATATGGGGAGGGGCATTCTGTGAGATTATTATTCCTTTTAAGGTGGCCAAATGAGGATGATGATATTGCAATATTAATTTACCAAAACAGTCCTTCAAAATGGGGAAGATGTTTTCAGTGCATGGTGTGTTGAACAGAATAATGACCCAAAATCATACCATACCCATTATATATGAATCCCACCGTCCCTTTCATGAAGGGAAGCGTTGAACTTCACCAAGTACTGCATAGCCATTTGCTCTCAGGTTGTGATACCGAACTTTCGTTTTGAGCCCTCAGTATGATAGATTTTACGGGGGTTTTGTCAAGCCATGGGAAAATCAGTGAAGCGTGTTTCTGGCAATTTGCATCAGCCTGCACCTTCAAGGCAGAAGGTGATGGCCGATGCTCTTACTGCTGCTGGACCAGGATGCTCTAAAGCAGGGCTGGCAAACTTTGTTCATTCTCTACATCAAAGTGGGGTTTTGGATTCCAAAGTTTTTGGTGAGGAAGGTTCCTACAATCCAAGGCTAGCCAAGCAAGATTTTACTGACTCGGGAAGGGACCTGATTGAAATCCACACTCCTTATGGAGACCTCGTTCAATCGATGGCATTGCCACTAGAAGATCCAAAAGAGGAACTGCTTTTGAGATACATCAATCCGTTTGCTTTCTTACACCATCTTTCAAAAAGTGAGACTGGGTTTGGAGAGATTGTGAAGGCTTACCTCAAGAACCAAACGAACAACTTGATGATTTATTTTGATGAAACAAGACCCGGAAATGTTCTTCGTCCAGATGCTGGCCGACTTGTTCTTGCAGTTTACTGGTCTCTGAAAGAATTACCCGAATATATTCGATCGAGAAGTGTTGGCTGGTTTCCCTTCACTTTCATACGGAGTAAACTGCTTGCCCGTCTCCCTGGAAAGGCTTCCAATTTTGCTGCGAGAATTCTACGATTTTTTTTCAGTAGCGACAATTTCAACATGTTGACAGGGGTACGTTGTGAAGTGAACTCTGAGGATATCTTTGTCAAAGCCAAATTCTGTGGTATCTTGGGGGATGAAAAGGCATTGAAAGAATCACTTGGAGTTACTGGGTCAAGTGGCACAAAGCCATGTTTCAATTGCAAAAACATTGGAAGCAAACACAACGACCTTTCAGACCACGACTACTTTGTCAGCTTGGACTGTTCGAAATTTTCCGACTTGGACCTTCACACCGATTCCTCGTTTCGTGAAATGGCCGATCTGCTTTTGTTACATGACAGGGACCCTACCATGACCAAGAAAAAATTTGGCAAACTTCAGCAGGTATTGGGATTGAAATATGACAAAGACACCCTGTTGTTTCAGCCGGATTTGAAAGATTTGGTACAACCGATATCTTGCACCATTTGGGACTGGATGCATGTTTTGGTGAGTCATGGGCAAGCTGACGTGGAACTTGGGCTTTTCGTGCATAAAATGGTTTCTGAAACTCGAATTAGCATCAAACAACTGGAGGATTTTGTGCTGCAATTTGAGGGCTTACGGCAATCTGGTGGAAAATTCAACCGCAATTTTTTGACGAGTCGCTTGAAAAAAGAAGGTGGCCCGTTCAAGGGTTTCTCTGGTGAACTTTTGGACCTTCTCCCATTGGTGAGAACATTTGTGGACATGGTGCTGGTACCTTCTGGGAAAATGCCTACACACATTGAGTCATTCAAAGAACTCTGCAAAATCGTGGATATCATGACCATGGGTGATGCAGCTTGTGCCTACGTGGCTTTACTCCGGACAACAATTGAAAAACACCACGAACTTTTTGTTGAGTGCTATGGTTTGCCTGAATGCATACCAAAGTTTCATTACACGATGCACTTAGCACATGTGCTAGAACGGTTGCAAATCAACCCAAGTTGTTTTGTAACAGAGCGCAAACATTCACTTTGCAAACAAATTGCTGGCAGAACCTTCAACAATTTTGAGAACACAATTTTACAGGAAGTTCTCCGTCAAACCCTGCGAGAATACCATGCAGAAGGGGCAATGGATTTGGAAGGGTTGGCAAAGGATGTCCCCTTAGAGGATGATGAACTATTGGAGCAATTTCACGGTGGGTTTCCTCATTTGACCAACGTTTTTGCAAACTGTTCTGCCAAACTTGGCATTGGAAACATCAAACGGAAGGATTTGGTGTTGTTGGAGCTGACCGGGTTTCAAGTGGGAAGAATCGTGCTTTTTTTCAAACTCGTTTTCATAGCTCAAATACCACAGTTCATGGCTCATGTGGAACTTTTTGAAAAAAAAATCAGAGTCAGAGTGGAAGTCTGGAGAAATCAGACCTATGATCGTACCTACCAAGTGCATCAAGGCTAAACTGGCCTACGCACCAATTTCCGAAGAAACAGTACAAATTGTTGAACCATGGTTGATCCGCCCGATGTGAGCACACAAAAAAACCATCAATTGGAGATGGAGAGTTGGGGGCGGCAGTGTGGTTGTGTAACCATGATTAGGTACTGCAGGAATGCCACATACACATGTATCTATATCTATAAACATACATATCTATCTATCTATCTATCTATCTCTCTGTCTATTTATCTATCTCTCTATCTATATTTATTTATTTATTCATGTATGTATGTATTTATTCTATACTATAGACAGATAGATACATAGATAGATAGATTAAAAAATATCACCCTTGAACAAATATTGGTTTGATGGATGAGCGATCGATGGGTGTTGTTCGGAAATTTGGATGGGACAATTCAATCACCATTGTTTACTATGCTTACGTTTCACCAAAAGTTAAATGTTGTGATGCCAGGTTCTACCAAACTGTTGGTTTCTATCACTTCATGCGGAACCATATATATACCCAAAACGAAAAAGGTGTCAAATAGCTGGCCCAGAAATCATCAGAATGCACTGGTTCTTTGCCAATAATGGTTAAACCATTTCTTTCGGGAAGGATGGTTCTTAAACTACATATGGTTGTCTATGAAAATGGGGATTGTCCAGTTCATCACGGGCTGACGGTTCATTAGTGGGAACCCCACATAGTTAACCTATGAATATTGGACAAAAACAAATGCCCGATGTAGGAATGATGGGACCTTCATCCCCGAAAAAAAAAACGTTGGAATCATTGGCTTTTCAAATTATATTATGTTTAAATTGTTGGTGATGTTTTAAGTTTCTCATCTCCCCAAAAAGGGGCATGCAACAATGCAGGGTCTGTCCACCTATATTAAATAGTCTCAGCTGCATTTTTTAAACTCCACCAAAAGGGATCCTAGTCATACATGGCTGTAAGTAATGATAAAACATGTGGGTTTCCCAAGTTGGAAAACGATATGGGTGATCGAAATTTTACACACAGAAAGTTGTTGAACAACACCTTCACATTCAGACCCTGAAGTATGATAAGATTTTTTCCCTCGGGCCAAGCAGGTAAGTTTAGAAGTGGAAACTTCCGAGTTACGGTGAGATGTTGTCAGCGCATTTTCCGGAAGACAGCCCTGCAAGAGTGCAGGACAGCTGGCAAAAACCATGTCCACCAAAACGGGACGGGCCCGGTTTTACAGGCCCGGCGGTGAACGTGAAATTGAGTTATAAGTCAGTTACGGCTAAGTCCGTAACTGGGTTATAACCAGTTACTCACGTACGGCTAACTCAGTTATAAGTCGCCGGTAAGTCCACCAAAACTCGGTGCCGATAACCAGGGTTATAACCTATGTAACCCAAACCTGTCTAGATAGCAGGGCATGCTTCAGGAAACCCAACATTGGCAGCAGCTTCGCAAGAAGAACCCCACGGAGGTGACCAGTCCCCTCAGACAACACCTTTGTCTGTGGTTCCTGAAGGACTTGCAGACCCGGGCCATCAAAGTCTCAGAGTGCAAAGTGGGGGACCCCCTGCTCCAGGCCTGCATGGACAGGAAATTGCTGCTGGAGGACATGAGTTGGCCTTTTCTCAAATGGGATCCCTCCACAAAAGCCCTGATTATCGACAAGAAGAAGGCGGTGTCGATGGTCAAGATGCTCCAGCACTTGGAGGAACTGTGCGAGGACATGCGGGATCCGACGCTGGTAGTCAGATTTCAGGGCCTCCCCATGACCAACCCTCAGTCTGCAATTCCATGGAAGCTTCAATTGAACTGAGAAGCGACAGACCCTACGAGCTGATGGCCTCTCTGACGCATTCCTCAATCTGTCTGCTGGCAGGAACGACGCTGAAGCCACACGTTCCCAAACAGAGCTCCTTGGCAAGCACACTCCAGCAGATGATGCCGACTGCACCGGGCAAGGGCCGTGGCAAGGGCAAATCCAAGACCAAGTCAACCGACACATGACCTCTGAGGAGATCCACCGGTTGCGCTCCTTGACCGCAGTCATGCAACTTGCCAATGACAGCACCTGGTGTTTTGCAAACGTGACGGTGCATTGCCTGTTCTGGGCACTTCTTTGCCAGCCCGTTGCAGACACTGAATCTTGGGGCAAGCATTTTGAACCACTTATTCAAACGATTCTTGATAGCTGGAACTCTCCTGTTGTTTTGGCTGTTTTGCCGTGGTTCAAACAAGTGCTTGACAACTGGGGCCGCCCACAAGCTCAACAAGATTGTGGGGAATTTGTTCACATCATTCTGCGTTGGATGACCTCTCCAGTGATTGACATGCACTGGGAGCGCCGCTGTGAGCAAAAGGGCCGAGTGCAATGCATGGACCAAGGTGACCAATACATGCCTTTGTTTCTGCAATTTCCTCCTGCAGTTGCCCAGAGTTCTTCATGCAAATTTGACCAGCTTATTCTGCACTGGTGCCAGGCTTATGGCATGCAAACGGCTCTCACCAGGGCTGCACCCTTGCTTTGCCTGCACGTGGACAGACTTCATGAGGGACTCAATGGCCAGATCGAGAAAAGCAGTTGTGCAATTGACATTGAATCAGAACTCACCATTCCGGTGTTTTGCAATGCCACGTTGGAACAGGAGCATGTCAGTTATGTTCTCATTGCTGCTGCCTCACATTTGGGACAGGATGCTGCAGGCCATTACCAGGCCATCCTGAAGATACAACCTGTGGTGACACAGGAATCCAAGCCGGCGAAATGGCTGCTGACACAGGACAACCAACGTCCCAGTCCCATATGGCGTGCCCCAGACCTTTTCATGCAGAACATGACGATTGCGTGGTTGGTTCGATCAGACTGTATTCAAATCCCACAGTACTTTCCTGATTTTGCCAAAGTTGAGGAAGCTGTTGACCCGACACAACAGATCCTGGCATTGCTGCGACCTGATTCAACTGCAATGGCACCATCCGACATTCCACAGTGATGCCTTTGGATGATTTTGAACCTTTTTGATTGGCTCCTTGATTTTCTCCAGACGATTATTTTTCTCCAGATGACTTCAGAAATGCCTGACGGCACAAATCGAGAAGTGTAACGTGAGAGGCATAGGTATGCGATGGTTCAGCCAAGTGCTACCCACCAAGGGTACCAGCAAAACGCTGATGGCTGGCACAAACCTTTCGTGCAGATGCAAAAGGTGTGTGAGCAAAAAACACACACACACAAGCCCCTTTGCTGCCACGAGCGCAGCGCCCAAGTTGATCCAGCCACCAGCGGCTGAAGGAGCCATTTTCCTTTAGCGCCTTGACTCATTGCGCCATTCCTTTTGCCATCTGCCTGCTGTCATCTTGCTGCTCACTTTGACAGGTGTTTGCTGGCACCTGTTCTTGGCGGCCTTTGCAATCATTCCGCTGACATTGATCCTACGATTGGCCATTTTTGCCTTCTGCAGTGGGGCTTATTTTTGCACTGATTCCTCATCCATTTATTACTGCTCAATTGGAGATTGGGACCGCTGCTCTGGCAGTGAATTGGTTGATTTTCCCTTTTCGCGAGAGTGGTGCACTTTTCCATTGACGGTTATCTGCTTCTCTCCTGGATCCCACAAATATCACCCGGTATTTTTTGCTCTTCCTGTTTCAAGCTCTGGTGCATCTTTTTCAATTGTGAATGAACCTGGACCTGGACAGCATGCATTGATTCCACTTTCATGGTATCACATTGGTGCCTGGACTACTTTGTGGGTCTTACACGGTTTCATTTGCGCCTTCTGCCGTGGGGTGCGGAGGTACAATTTGTATTTTTTGGGAGCTACTCCTGCTGTTTTAGCAAGCAACTGTTTCTCCTGGACTGGGCACCTGCTGGCTCACCTTGCCCTTGTGTCCTGGTTTAATTTTTCCTTTACAACATTTTTGATTTGACGTGGTGGCACAACATCAACGCTTGCATAGCACTACTATTTTTGTTGCTTCTGGCGCATCTGGGTGGCAGCAATCCCGGTCCCAAGTCCGGGCACCGCTGGATACATCAATTGAGACTGGCTGTTGGTCTCTGTCTCATCATCTGGATATCCCACAATTACAGCGGTGGGGGTGAGGGTTGCAGCTGTTCCATGGCGGCTGCTGAAGCACATGCACCACAATGGCTTTCAGATCTACCTAATGGTGCAAAGCAACATGGACCGCGGCCTGAAGTACGCTCTTCTTTGAGCTGGTCGCCCACGTTTTCCAATGTGAAGAAGAGGAGTATCAGACGGGCTTATCACCGAGCCTGCCGAGATGGCATCAGCTGGTATCGTGGACAATGTTATACTCCCAAAGATTTTCCAGTGCAACTCCAACAAGCAGGTTCTGTGCAAGATTGCCACTGCAAGCTCAGACCTTCTGGGCACGTGGATCTCTGTCGACATAACCAGGCACAAGGTGGTCGTAGACGACTAAATTTTGTCACCTGGAATGTGGGAGGACTCTCCCAGACTCGGCTTGATGAGATCCGGATTTGGGCTCTCGAACAAAATGTTTCCATCATGTCTTTGGTCGAGACACGTTGGTCTTGGTCCAGTGAGTGGCAGGACAACCACTGGATGTATGTGCACTCCGGCAATTCTGCAGATCGTGGTGGTGGGATTCTTCTCATGATCAATCGCAGACATTGTCCAGGAACAGACTTACGATGGCGTGAATGCCTGCCAGGACGCTTGGTTCATGTGCAATTACGCCTTGCCCCGCGTCCCCTGGATTTCCTGGCGTGCTATCAATACAGCTTTCAATGCAATGCCTCCAGACAGGCAGATCGTCAGAGGTGGTGGGAAAGCTTTGAGACTACGCTATGCCACATGCCCAATCGCCATGTGTTGGCTGTAGCTGGCGATTTCAACTGCTCTCTGCCAGTCCACGATCCACGTGTAGGACACCCGGGATATCTCTGGCAAGGGAGCACCCAACAGGGCACCCATCATGGGGACACAGATGTTTTCCTTCATCTTATTCGAACTTATGATCTCAATGTTTTGAACTCATGGCACCCCCAACTAGGACCCACCTATATTGGGAACAATTGCCATAGCCGCATTGATTTCTGCCTTACTCGAAACCATATGGCTGATGGAAATTCACGAGCAGTCAAGTATCTCTGGGACTCTCCCCTTAAGACCACCCAATATGATCACTGCCCCATTTTCTTTCAGCTGAATAAGTATTGGATTCCGGCCCCCATGACTGGCGTCAACACGAGTTGCACATTCCAGCAACGTGTGCAATGCAGACAAGCCTATCTAGAGGACACTGACCACTGGAAAGAATTTCTACGACGGACCCAGACCACCGTGCAACAGCACATGACTGAGTCGGATCCCCATGATGCTTCAATCATTCCACGTTTGCATGAATTAGTGTTGCAAGATTTTCATTCCTTTTTTCCCCCTGCTTCACATTCTTCCAGTGCGGTTTGGACACCCATGACCACTCACATCACTTGCAAATGGCAGCATCGGAACATTTACATGAAATTGGCTGATCGCATGACACACGGCTCATTGCATTTGCAGACAGTTTTTCTTTTTTGGCGACATGTTTCAAGGTTTGGTGTCTTGGATCGACAGCAACGCTGGCATTCCAAACAAGTGCGCAGACACAGATTTGCTGAAACTATCACTTTGGCTCAGAAAGCGGCTGATCGTCACAACACTTTTCAACTTTTTCGGATTATCAATTGTTTTGCTCCCAAGCAACCACGCCGTAGAATGCAGTTGAGAAACCATCAAGGCCAGTTGGCCACTGCGGTTGAAGAACATGCAATTTTGTGTCATTTTGTCCAGGAAGTCTGGGCGGGGGAACCAACACAGCCCCCTCATCCTGACGTGATTGCAGGTACCCCCTTTACTGAAGGTGATGTACTACAGGCCCTTGAGAATATTCCCATTTCCAAGGCAATAGCCCCTGGTTTTGCGCCTGGCGCCATTTGGAGAGCTCTTGCGCCCTACTTGGCCCCATGGATTTTCTCCCTTCTTCACTGTTGGTGGTTTTTGGAACATCCCCACATTCCTGGTAGTTGGCGACATGGATGGTTATGTTGGCTCCCCAAACCGGGGAAACCCCCTACATCCCCGGCGGCATTACGCCCCATTGCCCTTCAGGAACCTATCAGTAAGGCCTTGATGGGGGTTCTATGCAAAGTGGGTAACATTGATTCACTTGATCATTTAATCTGTTTACCACTCTGGGCTTACCTCCCCCACCGATCAACCCTGGACTCACTGCTTAGAGTAGCGCAACATTGCCAAAAGGCAAGAGCTCTCAAAGATTCACAACGTTCGACCCCCACCACTCGAGCTTCACAACAGGTCCGTTACAGAATCTGTGGAGCGGTCCAACTGTTGGTGGACATGAGCCGGGCTTTTGATTCTATTGATCGCCACAAACTTTTCAATCGGCTTCATGAACTTGGAGTTCGTAAGGAAGTTGTGAAGCTCTTGTCGGCCTGGCATAGCGCGACCGATTATGTGGTTCAGACAGGTGACGTGGTCACATCCATCCCTGTCGAGCGGGGTCTCCGCCAAGGATGCAAAGCGGCTCCTTGGTTGTGGAACTCAACCATGGCCTTGCTTTTGACAGACCTTGCAGCTACCATTGACCCCACTTGGCTGCGTGACAACACGAATCTTTACGCTGATGATGTACAAGCAGGTGATGTTTTTCATTCTGAATCTGAACTTTTTCACATTCTTAACAATTTTGCTGTGATTCTCACCATGCTCAAAAAATACGGGTTGCAGATCAATGAGGACAAATCGCAGATACTTCTTCTTCTGACTGGCCCAGACAAACAACATATCAAGCAGAAGATTTTGCATCACAGCCAAGTGGGCACTCGCCTGATGTTCTCGGCAGACGGCCACTCATATGCCATTCCAGTGACAGACAGCGCAAAATATTTGGGGGCAGTTGTCAGCTATGGGAATCTGGAGGACCACACTGTCCGACATCGGACTCAGTTGGCCACTGTTGCTTTCAAACGCCTTTTGATCTGGTTCACAGGACGTCGTGGTCTTGCCACACATGACAAAATCCGACTTTGGAACACCTGTGTTTTTCCGATCCTTACTTATGGTATTTACAGCACAGGAATCACCACAGTGGGTGCAAAACTTCTCAACAACACAATCACTGTGATGCTGCGCAAGATTCTGATGGACCACTCTTACATCACCAGACACAGCAACCGCATCACGTTTCACCTTCATGACATTGATCCCCCACTTGTGATGCTATGGCGGTCTGTTGAACGTTTGCAGAAGTCGGTCACTCAGAGATGCCTGACTCTACGACCTCAAGATCTGGTACACAGTTGCTTTGGGAGCACCTTGATCAGCTCAAAATGATGTTTCTCGATATGCATGAGGCTGGACCTAAACGCCATCCACTGGCCTTCACTCGAGAGGCTCAGTTTGACCTCCCATGCCATCATTGTGCATTCACCACTCAGGATGTTACCACCTTACGGAAGCATTATGCTACATGCCACGGCTTCCACATGCTCAGAACTACTATTGCCACTCCTTCAGATCACATGTTGCATGGATTGCCACAGTGCAGACATTGCTTGGCTTCATTCACCACTTGGAGACAATTTACCATTCATATCACACGTGGCTGCCAGGTTCTGAGGGTGCATCCTGCTGCTGCTGGATTGACTGGCTCTACATCGCAGATGCCACTGCTTCCTACGAGGTTGGTTAACTCACGCTCTGATGAAGCAATGCGTGGCAGCACGCAGCTGGGAGCACAAGAACTGAGAAACATCATGTCGCATGATTGGGGACCCCGTTTGTTGAGGCTGATTGGTACTCGACAATTGCACCTCCTCAGACAGGAAAGCAACATCAACGACTATCTCGCCCAGAGATGTTGTCTGTGTGATCAATGGGTCGGCAGGGCTCAGGAGATGCACAAGCATCTACGACTTTTTCATGCAGCCTATTGGCCA